CATCACAACATACATTTTAGTTTTAAAATAAATAGTGAGATATAACCTTAATCTTATTTTCAATCAATTATATCTCACAAGAATTGAAAATATTTCCTCTTAAATATTATTTGAAAAACTAACTCCATAAAGTTTCTTAAAAGTTATATTTACTCAAAGTGGAGTTATATTATTAATTTTTGAAGTTCATTAAGAGTTTGGGAGATATTCAGTTTTGACCTTAATTTAGTATTTTCTCTATATCTCTTAATATACAAATCTATTTAATGTGAAACTTCTTTGTTTAAAAATAGACTTATAAATATTTCTAAAGACATAATTTCATTCAAAATAGATTTTATATGAAGTAGATATGATTTTTTAAAGTTGGTTGTTAAAACTTCCAGTACTCAGAAAAACGTTACTGACCTTTGCACACATTTTTTATCATGTATCTCAAAATATTTTGAATTTTTGAGTCAATATGAAAACTAACCATCTAGAGTTTTTTAACAATAGGTCATTTTCCTGTTTTAGATTTAAAATGAAAGAGTTATGATTGATAGAATTTAACTTATAAACTGTGTTACGGAAATGTACCTTTAGCATCGGTGCTGTACTATTAACACCGGTGCTATTCCTTCATTTTTGACAAAAAACCTCTCTTTAGCACCCATATTAAGTGCTAACACCTATGCTATTGATATTTTAGCACCAATACTACTTTTCTACATTGGTACTATTCTTTAAAGCTTTGAAATAAAAGACTTCATTTAATTTACATTAACACCGATACTTTTTATCAACACCTTTGCTATAAATCTTCATTTGAAAAAGAAACACTTATTTTCATAAAATGAAAAATATCATCGCCATTTACAAAGAGCCCTGTATTAGTACTATCAAAGTAAGACTTGTGTTATTTTCATTGTCTTGTTATCACAGCATCGATATTATTGCAAATGGCACCATTGCTAAATTGGTTTTTCATGCTCTATTTTTTGTTCTCAACTCTAAACTCTTCAAAACTCATTTCTTGGCTATTCTTTTCATCTGCAATCAATCGTGTTTACTTAATAACCTTCTTATAATCTATCTAAGCACAATTATTGCTTGGATCAAACTCTTTGTGATTCATTCTTGATTTACACCACCTACGCTAAAATGCTTCACTAGTATAAACCTTCACCTACTTTTGTCAGAGTATTAAATGTGTAAATGCCGTTATATTTGCTTTTAGCTCTAACATGTAAACCCGTATGAAAAGTTGCCAATTCCTACTATCCCTTTCAAGTAACAATAACGTTGTAAAGCAACAAAGCTACACTTACACCTATAATGTTAAAGATCAAACAACAACAAAAAATTGATTGTGCCTAATGAATAATTTACAAAGATGCAAGAGAACTCTGTTAAAAGCACTAAACAGATTTATACTTTAGGGAGAAGATCATAAGAGAGAAGGAGACTACTCCAATGGATATATTAATGAGTTTAATAGATCATTTATTAACTCCAACTATAAAAAGACTTATCCATGAAGATCAAAGTAGAGAAGTGAGTGGCACAAGCTGTGATATTTAATACCTTCAACTATTCTCTGTATTTGTCTCGAATATTATTGTACTTCAATATATTCATTTACTCAATGAGTAAGTTTGTATCAAGATCACTTTGTGATCAAAATTTCTCTATTACTTATTTGAGTAGACTTAAGATTAGGGGATCTCAAGTGGGTTCTAAAATTACCTCATGAGAAGGAGAGAAATAGACTTGTAAGTCTAAGAGATTGTAAGTGGCTTCATAAGTGTCCGGATCAAACTTGTGAGATTTTTTTTTTTGTAAAGGAAAGTGATACAGGCATTAAGTCTAACGTTATACTGTGGCTTCATAAGTGCTTGGATCGAACTTGTCGTTATAGTGAAAAATCTCAAGAGGTTCCTGGGGACTGGACATAGGCTAAGTGGATTGGGCTGAACCAAAATAAATTCACTATGTATTGTTCTTTTTCTCTCCCAACTTCATCTATACTGCTTTATCCTCTCATTATTCATATTTCAAGTTTCTGTGATTAAGAGCTTTAAGCAAAAAATCAAATAATATCTAATTCACCCCCTTTTGGGTGACCGACATATCTTACAACACACACTCAAGCGCTCTATTGATGACCTCTGGAGGACCACACCATAATTTAGCATACTCATGCACTCGAGCTTCCTTATTTTTTCTATTAAAAATAGAGATATCAATAAAGTTAGATGATTGAGATAGAAAGAAGAGGGAGAGAGAAGGTGGAAGAGAGCATTGTTGAGTGAAGGTGACAATAGAGGTGGGCTCTACTAGCTCATACTTGGTCGTTAAGGCAAGCCAGTAATGTCTCCAACAAGCCGAGTCCTTAATCTCCTCCTCTCTCTCTCCCACCTCTTATCCTTTCCCTCCTCCCTCTCTCTTCCTTGTCCTTATCTAAAGTTCATCTCTGATCCCCGAAGTTGATCTCTCACAGACCATCAATAAGGCCATTCCTCGTACCAGGAACACAATCTCACAGTTGAGGACCACCATAGTTGTTGTATGGCTGTCACATATAGGAGAGCACATTTTTTTTGCAATTAGGAGACGAAGGGCAATAAAGAGAACCACCATGGTTGTCACATATAGGAGATTGAGAGAGAAAGTGGGGAGGGGAGAGAGAGAGAGAGGAGACGAAACGGAGGGTGAGAGAATGTGGAAGAGAGAGAATATTTTTAAAATTATAAAAAAATATTAGTGGGACCCACTATACAATATTTTATAATAAAAATATTAAAAAATTTAAATGTGAGCCCTACAAAATGAAAAATATTAATGGGACAAATGACAGGGTAATAGATTTAAAAACCTTAGCGATTTAGGGTTATAAATGACCCATAATAGAGTTTAAGATCATTTATTCATATATACTTTAGAGATATTTTTGACTCTTAAACCCCCACACACACTTTTCATTTGTAATTAAAACAAGGCTATAAGATTTTTAGGTGACTAAAAGATTATGAGTCAAACCTTCCCTTAGCCACCTTTACTAATTATTTTTAAATAAAAGTGTCATATTTACCAATTATTATTGCAATGTTAAAATCTATTAGTCCTTTATTGATATAAATTTCTTCTAGTTATTCTTAGCTGATATTTTCCCTTATTATTATGTCGTATCTTTGATTTTGCTGAACGTATACCTTTCAACTTGGCTCCTTTAAGGAAATTTATGACATGCTAAAGCTTCAAGATAATAAATCAAAAGCAGTTAATCTCAGGTCTATAGACTTCTTTAATTTATTCTATTAAATCCTTTTAAAAATACAAATTTACTCACTTTAGTTATAAACTCCCCCAAAAACAAATTTAGAGTGTGCTAAAGTGTAAGTAACTTTTTTTTTAATGTAATCACTATTAAAATATATTATATATATATATATATATATAAATTGTAAGAAGTCATATCGTTCAAGTCTCAGGCCAAAAAAACATTGTTCATGTCAAGAATAATATATAACTTATGTTTATTCGACAAAAAAATATTAGTCCACCTTAGTTTGTTCATATTGTAGAAATTTAAAAAAAAAAACACGCATGATTTAGATAAAACTTTAGTGTGGTATTTGGATAAATGGATTTGAATTTTAAATTTTAAAATCAATGCACATTTAAAATTTTTTTAAGGGTAACATGAAAAATTTACACTTATAAAATTCAGTTGTCCTAGGTTATAAAAAAAAAATGGAATTGTCCTATTTACATGACTTGGCTGCATATTTGCATAATATTGAAATAATTAAATTAAAAGAATATTTAAAATTATAAAGAAATTGTAATAAAAAATTTACTTGTATTTGAATCAAATCTAAATCTAAAAAGTTTTATGCATTCAAATAATATATTTGGCACAAATCCAAACCGTTGATCTAAACGTGGTAGATGTGTGTGTGATTTGCTAAAAAGAATTATAGTATAAAAAGAAAAGTTCTAATTTTAGCAAGAAAGTGAAAATCTAACCAGGCATGATTCGTTGATTAATATTTAAAACTGTAATCAAACTATGATTAAACTTATTATAAATAAATTATTTTATTAAATTAATCAATATACTAGTTGAATATTTTATTAATTTCATTAAGTGAGTTGGCCCAGTTTTTCTGACTATGAAATTTCTTTTCGGCAAAGGAAAACTGATGCAGTTTCGGCAACTGTTTATCCAACCTACATGCCTAATGTACGTTGGATCCGGTGCTCAACAACCAAGATGCTCATTACCATAAACAGAAAAGATCTGGGCCGTCTAAATTTTTTAAATTTAAATTTAAAATTTCTATTTACAAAAATCAAAATTTATAAATTTTTTTGATACATATTTTTATCATCAATTTCAACAGTAGTAATTATAATTTTTATAAATTAATTATTTAAATGTACTCTAGACAATATAGATTCAATACTAAATTTTTTAATAATTTTTTATTTTAATAAATATAAAATAAAAATAAAAATAAAAATAAAAACTTTAAATATGGACATTACAGATAAAAATTTAATATTTCATATTGATGATAAATATATTTATTAAAAATTTATAAATTTTTATTTTAATAAAATCAAAATTAAAAATATCTGAGCCATACAGATTTTTTGTGGGTGACGAGCATGTTGGCGCCGAAGACGGATCCAATGTACGTTGGGCTCACCAAAAACTGAAAAACTTGCAAATGTAGATGGATGAGACGGGCCCCAAAAACTGCTTGCCAGAAGCTCGAGACTCATGTGATGACTCGCTCGAACACGCCTTCAGCCCTTCACTTGGGCGTTGCAAGTATTCTTACTCGCTCATAAAGATGTACCAACAACCACTGTAACAAACCTTGAACGTTTCGGCGTCGTGCATGCATGCGTCACAATCTAGGGTAACGCACGGCTTCACTCAATATATATATATATATACACACATATATGATATGTTCATTTCCTTACTGGGCTTGTTGAGCACAAGCATGACGAAGACATGTGTGGTTGGGATTCTGATACTACAAGTGTGCTGGCAATGGATGGGGAGTGGAGGCGAGAGAGTAGTGACGAGGATGGACCTGCCATCACCGGTGACCGGGCCGGAGTCGCTGGCATTCGACTCCATAGGAGGAGGACCTTATACCGGTGCCTCTGACGGCAGAATCTTCAAATTTGAGAACGGGATCTTCGTCGAATTTGCCTACACTTCCCCAGTCAGGAACAAAACAATATGCGATGGAATTGCGGGATTCTCAGCCCTGCAACAAACATGCGGGAGGCCCTTAGGATTGGGGTTTCACAACCGCACGCAGCAATGGTACATAACGGATGCATATCGGGGCCTGGTCACGGTGCCTTCCTATGGAGGCCGGCCGACCCCGGTCGTGACGTCGGTAGAATGCCGTCCTTTCCGCTTCCTGGATGCTCTGGACATTGATCCTTCCACTGGAATTGTTTATTTCACTGAAGCCAGCTCTAGATTCCAGTTCAAGTAACTATTGCTATTGTTGTTATTACATTGCGCCATCCCTTCCTTTCTTCCTTGTACCATGCAATGAATCGTGTCTACAGGGACATGCAGGCACTGCTCTCCAGCAGCGACACTTCAGGAAGCCTGCTGAGTTATGATCCTCGAACCGGAGAGACCAGGGTGTTGCTGCGGAATCTGGCGCTGGCAGCTGGGGTGGCGGTGAGCGGAGATGGTTCATTTGTGCTGGTCACCGAGTTCTTGGCCAACAGAGTGCAGAGATTCTGGCTCACAGGTCCTGCGCAGAATAGATCTGAACTTTTCTTGCAGCTTGGCGGCAGCCCCGATAACATCAAGAGGAATTCCAGAGGCGACTTCTGGATTGCCGTCAACACTCCTCTCGGACCCCCCTCGGCAACCACGTATTTGCCTCTCGGAGTCAGAGTCAATGCGGGAGGTTTTATTCTGCAGATTGTGCCTCTCACTCCAATATATGGTAATCAAGAAGCTAGCGAAGTTCATGAGTTTAATGGGGCCCTCTACTCCGGCTCCATTGTTGCTTCTTATGCTACTATTTTCAGTCCCTAGTGCTTCAGCCTCAGCTGCATTTATTTTGCTTGTAAAAATCGGATAATTAAACAACTTATTATATATGCTCGCTTACCCTTGGTGGCACTCGGAAGGCCCTTTTCTCTGATCACTTGTGTCCTTACTTCTCACGTGTTATCACGTCGAAACTTCGGTCCATAATATCAAACCAGCTGGCTTCATCAAATCTAAAATCAAAATTTGGCATTCTTATTCTCATCCCTTCTACTTCCTTTCCACAAATATATTATATATATATATATATATAGTCCCTAATCTTCATTAAAACCCTGTTCATTCCGACAAGCAATGCTTCATATAACAAATAATCCATTCAACCGTGCAATGAGTCTGCATTCATGCATCATGCCCTCGTAAATCAAGAACCTCTCGAGTTGATTTGGACGTCAAAATAAATTCACAGAAGAACTCTGATAGTCCTAGTTGATTAGCGTTTGTTTGGAGTGATCCTAAAATACTTCTTGCGTTGCTTTCATCCCATGGAGCCATAGCGAATCAAATGCATACATCCAAAAGTTATTTCCATTGGCACCTAATCAAACTCCTTACAAAATGAAAGGGTGTTTTTGGACATCTAAATTTCCGCAGCAGTAGGAATTCCGATTTGCTAGGACTAATCAGTTAAATGCTTAAGGAAGGAAAAGTAGTGGAGCCGATCAGTTTGAGAAGCCCTTGAAGATTCATTCAAGCAGTTCGATGCAATATTCGAAATAGTTCTGCACCTTATTATTCCTTATATTGACTAAAGTATTCTCAATTATGGAGCAGGATAATGAGGACTATAGATCTATTTGGATAACCCTTAAAAGTATATTTAAACTACATCTAAAATATGTTTTTGTTAAATTTAACAAATAGTTAGTTTCTTCAAATGTATTTTTACATATAAACTGAAAACCAAACACACACTATATTGATATTATCTATGACTCATCTAACCAACTTCAGTTCAGAGTTACATGTGCTTTTACAACTACAATTAGGAAACAAGTCTAGGGGAAAGGCGAGTAGCACAAAGAAATAATAAAAAGCTTCTACATATTTTGTCAGTTTTCCAGTCCACTGCGGGTCTTTCAGACACTCTTCATAACAGTAAAAAATTCTTGGTCTGCAAACTTCACATTAGAGAGGCCTGTGAAACAGGAATGATTGTATATATCAAAAATATTGAATTTTATATACCTGCTTTAGTTCAGTCAAATTGCAGTGGGTTAAATAATATTTTAGATACCCTTTGCATGCATAATCTGTCGCAGATAGATCATTTTTTTGGTTGTAAATTCCGCTTGTATTCATTTGATCAGTCCGTTCAGTCATGCTACTCTTCAGGTTTTCCATCCTTGTTCCAAGTTCTGAGGCAGTTGTCGCAATCTCTAAAAGAAACCACAAACTACTTAAAAGATCTGTCCAGTACAAAACTTTTACATACATACTGAAATATAAATTTAATTATGAACTAATTTTTAAAAAATAATGAGTAATTTATATTATTAAGTGATATAAAATAAATTATCAATTATTTAAAACAGATCATCTCATGCTTCCTACTGTTAACTTTAAAAAATATTGACCATCAAATATTTTTTTGACTAAAATATTGACACGAGGCAAGTTTTCGTTCGTTTGACTGGTCCTTCCCTCCTCACGGCATTGACCCTTCTTCTTCTTCTTGTATAATCGGAGGGACTGGAGTTCTCTCCACAGACGAAGGACGATTTGACTCGGTGATTAAACTCTTTGGGAGGAAGATTTCTCTCCCGCCCAACCGCCATGCCTCCTCTTTCCATGATTCCACTCATGATCATACTCCTCCTCCTTGTTCTTCCTCTCCTCGCGAAGTCTGCTCTGCAATACACCACCAACCTCTTCACCCTCAGGTATTATACATATCTTTCCTTACCCACCACAACATTTCTTCTCTTTTCGTTCAAGATTTTGATTGAGGTCGCTTTGGATGATCGTGGATGGTTAATGAGTTGTTCAATTTCCCCCCTTGTATTTGTTTCTTCCTTCATCCTTTTCTGAGATTCCAGTTTCATTTTCAAGTCATGTTTGTTTTGGTTTGTCAATTCAATTCTATAAACCGAGTTGTTTTAAATTTTTGATATGTATTTCAGAGTGTTTTTTTGAGTTTTAATGACGGTTCTGGCTTTCACAGTCTGATTTATCTCTGGTGAATTTGATCCTCAACTGGTTTATATGACTTGTGCCTCTTAGACTTTGCCTCCGACTTCATTTTCTGCGGTGCCACCGGTGCCTTCTGTCACCAAATCACAAGTATAAAAAAAAAAAAAAAAAAAGGAAAACCCCACAGTTCTCCAAAGTCTAGAAACCATTCCACCATCATGAAAGAGAACCTACTCTTTTGCATGACAAAACTTTGGGGAACAAAAACACTGACAATTCTTTTCATGGCTCTCTAGAACCTATTCCACTATCGTGAGAGAGAACCTCCACTCTTTTGCATAACAACACTTTGGGGAACAGACGAAGGCAGTATTTCTCCCAAATAGCCAGCTTCTTGTCCTCAAGGCTGCTTGAATCACATTGCGGATGCAATAAACACACTGAAACAACTAAAAGCGACACATGTATGAAGTCTGTAACAGAACATGTATCACGTGTATCGGTTCCTATCAAATCTTATTGCGGACTCGCATTCTTATTCTAATTATAACCAGTGCACTTCTTCAGTAAGGAAAAAAATAATCGTCAGTAGAAAAAGAAGATAGAGCGAAATTCTGCAGAGGATTTTGCTTCCTGGTGCATGATAGGACTGGCCTTTCTCAGACCTCGGGATGTTTCCACACCTTGAGAGCTGAGCTTCGCTGACGCTACTCTGCAGGACATAAGAAGAAAGAAAGAATTTCCAAATTCCACAAGGACCACAACCATATTTCGAAAATTAAAAAGAACTGAGAAGAGACTTACCGGTAGAAGAAATCGAAAGCATCATCTACAGAATTGTCCACCACAACCTGTGGAGGAATGGCCTCACTTTCACTGCCTTCCATTCTCCACGGATACACAGGCAAAAAAGTTGAGGATGTGGCCAAGGGACTGTGTCGAGAAATAAAGCGATAGGCTTGCCTGTGCCTGGTAAGATATCTGCAGGATCTCCTCTGTTTTAGGTATCTGGACCGTTGGCGTGATCAACACACGAGGAGCAGCCACATCGCCCCTTACTCAACGAAAGGGCAGGTGAGAAACAAAGCCGGCCTCTTGGCTTTGGCTTCCAAAGTTGTTTAATTGATTAATTCTGATGCATTCATGACATGACAATTTGTTGTTTAGCGCTGACTGCTAACTGAACTTTCAGAAGCAAATCAGATTGTTGATCACTTTGTAGTTCCACAAAAACAAAAACAAAAACAAAAAACAAAAAACAAAAAAAAAGGAACAAAATGAAAGTATAACATTTTTTTATAACATATTCTAGATGAATATTAAGTAAATGTGTCAACGACTAAATTAATTATACTGGTGATAACTTCACCCCGTTCCCTTAAAAGAAGTTATGAGTTCCAACCCGATATTAAATGTGTTTATGTATGTATATGCGTATCTTCTTTTATTATGAAAAAGAATTTGGTTAGAGGTTAAGTTTTAAAGAATATTAAGTAAATTTATTTCTTTTGGACAACAGTCCGACAAACAACTCGGACTTAAGGCAGTTCTTTTTAGGATTTGGATTCAATACCGGCGGCAAATATGGGCATCGAATACCTGTACACATGTGTTACCATCTTATGCTTTTGAGCAAACCAATTATTTTCGAAGTTTTGAACAGCCATATGTGAGAAACACTGAATCCTCCTCTCTAAATCAGCATCATGTTGTATTGTTCGCCTTATTTCTCGCCTGAAATATTGGGCTCCTGTAATTGCAGCTTCAGGAGTTCACCATGCTTCGCTTACCTGTTGCAGAAGCACAGATGTTTTGGGCTGACGAGATTGCCACATTGGCAATGAAGAACTCTCAGCACTAATGAAAAGTGACGGCGGAGAGAAAAATTCAGTTCCCATTAGACACAAATTGTGGAGGCCGGCGACGAAAACTCCAAGTCATGTCAAACCAGAGTGAAAGGTCACGTGATGTGGATCAATCAAAAATGGGTCGGAGACGTGGCAATAGTGATCAGATTTTATTTTTGTCATATAATGCCGTAAAATAAAACTTAAAAACAATGCATTAAAACATAAACCTCACATTCGATCATGTATTTAATATATAATGACATAGTTATGAAAGTTTAAGCAGACACAACCGACGTCATCTTTGTCACCCACTGGCGATGTGAGGGGTGTTCTAAATTAAGATTTAATTATTAGATTAATTATATAATAAATTAAGGACTAATCCAAAAGGATTATCCTATTAAAGATTAACCTAAATAAATTTTTAACATATATTTTCACAAATGATTCAATATAAAGGGATCTCAAATTTTTAAAATATTTTAAGAACTCATATCATTCAATTAAATATATGCGAAAGCATGATAAAGGAAATATATCAACATGGGAGAAGAGCTTCCCCCTTTATTTTCTCTCTATATCTTACTCTACAATACATATATACATATTTATGACATAACACTTGGCCACTCAAACTCTTCTATAACTGGCAGCGGGGGGCCAAGATCTCAATTACATTTATCACAATGACTATTATCTAATCATCATACTCTATATATCATTTATTCATCAATAGTCTATCATATACATGAATTTTTCTTTTCATTCACATATAATTAATATCAACTGCTCACCTTTGGACATCAAAAACACAAGGGGAGACCATAACAACATTTAAGTTCTCAAATTAGGCAATATTAACTATTTTCACTTGCACAAATATTTTGACCCATTAATATAGCACAAGCATCAAACCACATTCCCCAGGGCCCAAAATATATTTCCCCCGATACAAAACCCATAATGCAAGTGGGTCAATAATATATTATCCTAGTTGACAAT